ATGGTTGTGGTATCAAATACATTATTACAATGCTCAATAAAATGGTCAAGTCTTGATACACATAGTGGTGGTGGCAGGTAAACTGCACAAAGAGCCATTTGACGTGAAGTATTATTGGAAAGATCGATTGTGACCCAAAGATCCTCACAACTACTTTGCCACATATCCATACGACGAGAGTTAATTTTTTTTGAAACAGCAATAAGCACTCCGCCTCCGTTTTTTTTACTTTCGAACCCTGTAGTTTCCCGGTCTCTTCGATACACAACATATCTCTCGTCAAATAGCTCCTCGTTAAGTATACCACTGTTTAACCAAGTTTCTGTCAAGATAATCACATCATAGTTCGCACAACATAAGCCACAATAAAAGTCATTGGTTTTAGTTCGAAGACCTCTACAATTTTGATAGTATAATTTTAAGTTAATGAATTTTAGTAATAATAATTCATAATCATGCACAATATATTAAGAAATTAAATATATTAAAAATTAGATAATTTTGTTCAGACTATTATTGTTCCTAATTAATATATAATCCGAACCTTCAGTTTTTCTGACAAATATTCTGCCATTTCTGACCCACACATACTTGTAGTTCTTTTGTTTTGCCTTAATCCTTGTGGCTGCGTGGAGGGCCTTGTTACTCGGTGAGAGGTGTTCAACCACGTATATTGGAGTCCTGCGCCCACTGATTCCCAGGTGTTCGCAATTGAGTTTATTATGGGGGTTATCTCTGTTATATTCCATCGTTGATGCTAAAAGTTGATCCCTTAACTTTGGTGATGCGAGTTGGATAATTATAGACCTTGGGCGGGTACTGGACGGGTTCACCTTAGCAATCCGAGTGCAATGCAGTATTTCTTTTTCTTTAATTTCGCAGCTTACTACTTGTCCAAGATCGTTAATAATGTTGTAGATATTTTCGTTTTTATTTTCAGGCATGTTTTGTATTTCTATATTATTCGATCTAGATTGCTGTTCTAGTTGATTAAGGCGCGCAAGTAAGTCTCCAACCGTGTTTTTCAACTCTTTATTTTCAGATTCAAGGTTTTTGATGACTTCAACAGTAAATTGTTGACTTTTCTCGAAGGCTTCAAATCTGTCATTCATGAATGACATTGATGCCACTACTTCTTGAATTTCTTTTCTAATAGGTTCCATTTCTTGATTTATTGTGCTGACTACTGTTTTGTTGAATTGTGTCAAAATTAGATTGAATTCTGTTTTTATTATATCTCGGATCATAGTCCGTATCTCATCCTTGTTACTTGCTATTGGTGGCGGCGATGGTGAGCCAATAGCGACTCTTTTGTTGCCTCTGTTCATCTGCACGTTACGTATAGGAGTTGAGTCCTTCCTATTAACTTTAGGAGCGCAACTTAAACATGTGGGACATTTCCAAGATTTGTTTGGAGATTCCGTGACAGATAAACATGCGTAGTGATAAGATTTCCCGCAACTGGTGCATTTAATGAATTTTTCATCTACCAAATTTTCATCAGTTTCATTATCCTTCGCGCAACAACCCCATTCAACATATTTCGTGGCCATAATGGGAAAATTCAAAAATCAACAACCCAAACAAAAATCTGCCTCATAGAGGAAATAAGCGTAGGTATAATATGTTGCGCTGTCTGCGTTACTTAATCACCGCTACGAGTGATAGTGTATGCCACAGAGCGTGAGCGCATGCAGTAATGGTTCTTATGCGCACCGCTTAACCGTGCGGGTTGTGTGTACAGCACGTAAAAACTGATTGTCAAAACACTCACCGGTAAATCAGTTGAGATTTAAAACTTAACGGTTTACACTAAAAATTTGCTGCTATAATACACTTTTTTTTTTACACGCTTTTAATTATGTATTTCACTTCCTCACATGGTAGTTGTCACTTTATACTAGTATTTGTTGCTGTATTTGTTTATTTGTAGCTAAGAATGATAAATTTAACTATGAGTAAGTTCACACACTATGTTAACCGTTGGACCGCTGGGGCAACTTATGTATATTTTATATTGTAAGTATAAGTTACAATGACCGATAGAAAAATATTTAAACATTTAATATATAATATTTTATATAATATATATATATATATATATATAGATATATATATATATATATATATATATTATATAAAATATTACAACTCTAGATGTATATACGTGGCGTACTCATGCATATTATGACGATAACAACTTTTATAACTTTTTGAATCGTTATATCTGTATAGAAACGGTGACTCGTAAGAAAAAAAGTATTGATACATTTTTTATAGATAATTTTATGATCTACAATTTTTGTTTGAGGTACTTTTATGATAAAACTTACCGTTTTGCTGAAAATCGCGAAACACTCATTTTTTTGACCTTTGACCTTGAATTAAATTTTTTCCTTACAGGGGAATGATGGGGAACTACTAGACATTGTTTATTATTATATTTTGAACAATTTCACTGAAATTCAGCTTGTTGGGACTTTATGTAACTTCACTCTCATTTTTTGGTCTAAATTGACCGGACTATTGTATTTCACAAAAATTATCACGAATTATGCCAAATCGTCGTATTTTTTCATTTCAATTTATATTATTAATTTATTATTTATTAATTTTTTTTGTCACATTGAACAAAATGGATGACAGTTAAAACTGCGCCTGCCTGCGTCGATCTGAAAACCAATTCTAGTAATAAAAGTTAAGGTCAAAATTCAGTTCCGATTAACTCTCGATCTGCAATTGCCATATAAGGTATTTTCGTAGTAAAATAATACTAAGCCTAGCAGATTACTGATTCAATTATCACATTACAGTCAACGTTGGATGCTTAATACTTTACTACGAAAATACGTTTTATTACAGCTAGAGAATTAATAGGAACTGAATTGTGACCGAACTTTTAGTATCAGAATTGGCCTCTGTACATGAGAATTCGTTAAATGGTTGACCCTTCTGAAAAGAAATCGTGCAAGCAAACTATCAACTACTTTTATAATATATAGTTAGTTATTTAGTTATGACAATATAGTTAGTTATAACAATATTAATTAGTAAAATTACATTTTGTTGCTAGCTATTATGTTTAAAGCAAACAAAATTGAATTATGTTATAAAGAGGTATACATAAATGACAGAGCATACTGTATACTAAATAATGCATGTTTTGATATCCACTATATAGCCCGGATCGATGCAATGAATAAATTTTACAACCTTATTTTTATTGCAGTCAATTTTCTGTTCTCAAAAATGTGCCTTGTGAGCTATTGGCGCATTATCCGTATTTATAACCTTACCAAAAAGGAAACAACCTTGACTTCACTATCTATTGGTGAAATTGTCATATTAGATTCCGTTCAGACGTTTGTAGTTTATCTCTAACAGACAGTTAGTCTGACAGACAGACGTGATGGGAGACTTTATTTTATAACCAGCCTTTGCCAGCGGTTCCGCCCGCTTGTATGTCAGTTATCGCGGTATTTAAATCGCTTTAGTGGTTTGAGTTTGAAAGCACACTTTCACATTTATAATATAGGTTTGGTTTGTCGTTGTTTGTCAACCAAATGTCAAGTGATCGTCATAGGAAGCAAACATATTTTGAGTAGGTTGGATAGGACGGCCATTCCACCAGGTGTCTTTAACAATATAATCATCCCTTTGAGTCCAGTGGTTAAGAGCCTGGGGTTACATAGAGACTCAATACTTGATTGGAGAGCACAAGTTACCCACCTCAGCCAGAAAGTCACTACATGTCTTCGCGCTTTACATTATCGTCTAAAGAATTTTTTGCCCACTAAAACTAAGACTAACGATTATGCAGTCATTAATTATTCCCTTAATCGAGTATGATGATGTGTATTACTTTGACTTGAATGTAGACCTCCTCAACGAGCTGGACCTACTACCTCATAACTGCATTCGATTTGTTTTTAATCTTCGCAAGTATGACCATGTGTCTGCTTTACGTTACCAATTGAAATGGCTCTCAATTCGTCAACGCTGCAGTCTGCGTGCATTGATATATCTTTTTTCATTTCTCAATTCCCCATCGTTACCCGAATACCTGGTTCCCCACTTCTGTTTCTTTTGCTACAATCACGACCGAAATCTTCGGTCAGCAAATAATATGCTCCTTCTTTCCCCGATCACACTTTCAATTTCATCAATCCTTCCTTCTACATATATACTGTCAGTTTTTCTCTGGAATGCGCTCCCAGCTGAAATCAGGATGGTCACTTACTGCTTTACATTCAAGGAAAAGTACAAGATATTCTTCAAAATGAGTTGGCAGAAGGGTCACAATGCTCTAACTCGACCGTGTATTTTTATTTATCTATGTATTATTTATTTATTATGTTTATGTATTGCATGTACTATATATGTAGTCATTAAAACATTATTTCATTTGTGTATATTATTATCTTTACTTGATAAATTTAATTTAAATAATGTCAAATTTTCTATTTTATCTCTGCACCTACCGCATCATATTCCTACATCATCCGAAGAGTCGAGAATGCCCTGGGCATGAGAAGTCCGCCTGTGGATAATTTGTGCATTGAGTTATCATGAATAAGTATAAGTATGGATATGTAGTGACTATCAAATAATACAGATTTTAAATACAGATATATTTTTTCCCATATGTCGGACTTAAAACAAATACTCCGAGTATTTGTTTTAAGTCCGACATATGGTAGTAAGGTAATGGGACATAAAATACTTACAAACATTTACACTAACTGACAATAGCAACCGCAAATTTTTAAAATTAAGTTTAGAGAGAATGGCGGTAAGTTGTTTATGCCTTGCTCTTTTTTCACAGGCTCTTATACAGTTCATTTCTATTTTCTTTATTTATTAAATATTCGATTAAGTTGACTTCAGACTCAAATTTTTTTAAATATCTGAATAACAAAGCTTGATACTGCGGAAGGCCTTAGCATAGTGTCTAGTTTCAATGTCTTCATCCGAGACAGTTTTTCTTTCTTCATTTGTAGGTTGTGCTCGACCTACAAAAAAAATAATTGAGGCCGGGGACAAATGGCTGCCAGCTTTTGTAGTTCCAGTGTTCTGGCTCAACGATTATATCATTGCAATGACTTTTATTTTACTTATACATACCCATACAAGTTTGGATGCGGTGAGTAATTGTATGTTATTCCTACATGTTTGTAGATAGATATAGCGTAGGTATCATTTATTAATTCAGTTGTGAAACTGAAAACCTGCTACTGTCACAGCTATTGTTTCGAGTTACAACCGGCTAGAGGGTAGGAACAATATAAATAAGATTACCTATGCAGTAAGTGGCCTGTGACTACTTCTAACTTTTCAACACACGTACCATAGCAGCCGAGGCCATGACTGAACTGAAATTAGACTCACGGTACATAATTGTTTAATTTAATGGACTTCCAAAAGTTGAATTTAGCATGTAGTAGTCTGAATTTATTCACGGAGCAAATACAAAGAGGAGAGGGCATAAGCAACTGTGCACTGTTATTCTAAGTAGGTCCTGATGTCACCACAGTGGACGTGGCTTAAAATTAGTACACTCACCGTCCGTACTGTGCGCTTGTGTCGCAAAATCGCAAATCTGTTTATTTTCGTGGTATTAAGACGAAAAGAAGGAAATTTTGTATTTTATCGTGTTAAAATAATTCGGATAGACGTTTTGTTGTCATGGATGGCATCGCATTTCATTTGTAAGTAATTTAATACTTAATTTATTAAAATAGTTCTGGACAAATCTCTCTGTTTTTTTTAAATATAGTTACTTCTATACGTCTGACTAATCTTTGTGTAATTTAAACTAAAAATACAAAGCTTGGTTTTAGTCAGATAATACTGAAATTTGTTCTGCATTCAGCCCTAAAGAATTTTCACAATCTATTTAAATTTTAAGTAATCATTTTGTAAACAGACTGTCATCTATCGTCAAATAGAAAAACATACACAAACTGAACAAAAAGACAGGGAAGGAATTTGGAATCCAATGTTAATCCAATAAAGTCTTATATGAAAATGAAGGTACCTAGGTTGTATTTACGAAATTTTTAAATTATAAGTGACATCTTATTACAAAAAAAAAAAAATTGAACAAGTTTAGCATTTCGTAAATGTCTACCCAAGAAATGGTCATTTATGAGTTATGCCCACGGAAAAAATTACAAAAAGGAGATATTAAATATATTTAACTATGGGTGAAAAATTATAAGACCCTTTTTCTCCGTAGTGGGGTGATAATAGGACAATAGGATAATCCGTAAACATAAATACAGATAAAATAAGAACAAATATGGAAACAGATTTTAATCGTTATTCGTAATTTACCACAAACGTTTTTATTCTCACATTAGCAATACCGAGCGCCTATAAGTACAGGTAATAATTTATCTGTATACCACGTTTTATTCAAATCCGTCCAGCCGTTTCAGCGTGAATAATAACACATACATAATACATAGCTTGGGATAAGTCAACGAGAACGAAAGAACACATATACTTTCGCTTTTATAATATTAGGGCGGTTAGTACGATTATAATTTGAATGAGATTTTTGCAGATGGTACAGAAAATTAATCTAAAAAAACTCACTGTTACGTAAATTCTGAGTACGTTCCTTACATCCTACACTTAGTGTGAGATAGCTAAACTAAACAGCAACATCGACAAAGAACGATGTAAGTAGTTTTGCTATTATTTGGTAGATAGAAAAAAGGGAAATGGGCGGAGCGGGCGGAATGGGAAGGGGTGTTACCCTTCACTCAGCAAATTATCACGCGTTGTTTCATAGAAAAATCTAATTACAACACCTCCTCTTTGTATTTACTCCGTGGAATTTATTACAGTTATTTTTGCATATTTACGAGTATTATTTAAATCAAACCGGGATCTCTAAGAAAGGCTAGCTTAGACCGATTTACGTCATACATTATTCACTGTTATATTTCTAACATCTTATTATTTCTTCACCCAGGTAATGGCCCTCACTATAAACCAGGTGTACTACAAAATTTTGATTACTTTTGCACTTTATCTCCTTGATATATGGATATTGGCTTTTACTGTCAGTACTGTATACACCAGGTTCCGTAACTTTTACCAATTCGATTATCACGTGATGAATTTGATTACATTCTTAAAAGACAGCGGATTATGTCCGTCCCTTACTAAGGTTGTACGAAAATATACGGAGCAGCTGTGGAAGAAATATAGAGGTATTAACTTAAATATTTTATTTATATAGGTATTTAGTTGTTGCCAGAATACAGATAATATAATTGTTAAAACGTTCTTTCTATTTATTTTTAATACTAAAGGGTGAGTAAATTCGTTTTATTGCCGTTCTTTAGCCTACCTTAAGGAGTTACCATTTTATAGAGGATTTTATCGATTACATTTCAAAAGTGTATAGGTATTTATACGTCTGAACTATGTAGTAAAATGTTGATCATTCAACTGAAGTTTATATTACCATTACACTGAAATATATCTTTATATATATAATTCTTCTGTGAGTGTGTATGTCACTGAACTTCTCTCAAACGACTGGACCGATTTTGATGAATTTTTTTGTGTGTGTTCAAGGGGATCTGGGAATGGTTTAGATTCACAATTTTGTCCGCTGGACAATGTTTTTTTAATTAATTTTTAATTTATTAGTAGTTGTTGATTTTGGAATGTTTTACATTGGATCAGACAGACGGCGCTACCATCGCAGTGTCAAATTTGACAGGACAACGTCTGTCGGGTCCGCTAGTATATATATATACAAGGTATTTCTTCTCTAAGAATACCTTTAACATGTTAAAACAAAAAAACATCGATAAAGAAATTATCAGAACGATCAAGTTAGGTTGAGAGTTATTTGGCAAACTGCGTCAAGTTTTTGTGTCACCCTTGCCGCAATGACACAAAACTGATATCTCCCACCAGTAAGTGTTGGTAAACGAAGAGTAGGACGCCCAACCAGATGAATCAGGTAGCTATGTAATATATAATATATTGAAATAAACATGACTAACATAAAAATCGTTTGTACGTAGGTAATTGGCTACCAGAATTAGTTTTCCAAGGGCCAGCATGTCTGCGAGAGGACCTCTTCGTCTCTCTCTATATTCATCATTTAAACAGGCCATCCACGTTTCGTGACCTGCCTGATTACTTCAAGAGGCAACTTGCCGCCAGGCTAGAGAGGACTGTCATATTTCCTGGTTGGTATACTCTTTTTATGCACATTTTTTTTGTTATAGTAGGCAAATGAGCAAACGGGTCACGTGATGGTAAGAGATTCTCACCGCCCAAGGGGTGAATTGTAAAGAGGAGGATGAGCCTGGGTTTTGAGGCTTCTCACTCGGTGAAAATCAACCTGTCCTGTGAGGCCGTAGTATCATTCCATTTGAGACATGTGTACAAGCATGGTTACCCACGGTATAAGGCAAATTATTTGGAAAGTTCATGATAAAACCTCTTCGTGACTACCCAGGCCCACATTATATTGCTTGCAACGGCTACGGATCTTTTTTTTAGACCGGAACTCTCTTTCCTACCTACTGTATCGCCGAAATTGGGTTGCAATTGTTGACAATTGTGAGTTGATATTACTGTTAAGTAGGTACCTCGGAAGACCTATGATCTAAGGTACATTTTAACTGCAAAATACTTCAAAAATAATCTGTGTTCGGCTTTTATAGGTAAATATATCGTGAAACAAGGTGACGTTTTTAATGTAACATATTTCATACATGAAGGAGAGGTTGAAAAATGGTCTACTACGCCTGAGTAAGTTAAAAATTATTTCTATTTAAATGAAACTTGACTGCTACAATAAAAACAAGTGGGTAGACACAACATATGCCGAGCACCTCGATGTGAAATAATTATGAAAAGAAAGAGTATTTCTAAAGCAGCCATCCATCCAAATCGTGTCTCAAAAGGGCCTGGTACCGGCTTTAGTGAACAGCCTAAGGCACGTAGGTACGCGTCATTAAGTCATCATTTCAACCTGGACAGCAATGGTATATCCACGAAAATACTAATAACACTATCAGAAGATCACATTGTCGTATCACTATTTCTTGCGAAAATTACTGCAACTATGAGTCCAGAAAAGCAACAGTATATGATAAAAGAAAGATTATTGAAGAGGAACTCACCACAGTCAGATCCGACGTACAACCAATTCCTTATCCTACATTATGGTTTGAAAAGGTCACTATGAAAAAAATTAACAAAATATACTGTTTAGATATATATGCATTAGATATTTAAAAAATTGATGAAATTATTAAATGCACTGATTTTACAGATATTTTGAAGTAAAGAAGAAAATAAAATAAGAATTTTGTTTTTACAGAGGTGAAGAAACATTCGTGTCTTTGATTTATTCTAATGGCTACTTTGGTTGCATTCCGGGATTATTTTGTACCAGTGCTTTTCAGTTCTCTTATTATACCCGTACGGTAAGATATTTCAGCATTTCTTCATCAATCAAATGCCAAATTTGATGAATTCACGTTGCCGAAAGCAGTGCCGCGTGTCAATGCTGGTTTTGATTTTTTTTTAATGGGTAGTATATTAGTCTTTTTAGGAAAACAATATTTTTACCTACGCTTTCTAAGGCAAATAACTTTTTTTATACTAAGCTATTAAGGGTATCATGGATTTACCTTGTTTGTCATTTACATATGATAGTTGACTCAACAATTGCACGTTTATAACAAAGTACTAACTATTACACGGCTCTTTGTGCTCAGAAAAATCTTATCAATGCATAAAGTTGTATCCTCTTCGGACCCTAAAAAACGTAGCAAACAGTCAGTCGGTCTGCTCGAGCGCTCGCTATAAAACTGCCTTTGCTATATAAGAATGTGCGTAATCAATTATAAACTAATTGCAGGTGGTTGATCTTGTATACTTGAGGCTCCAGAACTGGGAAGATTTATTAGAAGGCTACCCGGAGATTAAGAAAACCTTTTTTAAAGCTACTAGAGCCTTAAAACATGAAGGGGTGAAAGTAGTTCACGGTTAGTGTGATATTGAAATAATAATAATGTTACCATGTGGTGACGGATTAAGAATACGGAATGTCACCACCCCTATTCATCCCGTAGGTGACTTAAGAGCCGACTAAAGGAGCAAACTGCGCAGAACAACAGCATTGCAAAGAGAAGGAAAACTTGACACAAACCTAGAGAGGCCTATGTCCAGCAGTGGACTGTTAAAGGCTGTTGATGATGATTGATGATCCCTAACTTTTGCTTACAAAGTTGTGATGAACATTTTAATTCTAACGTATAATAATTAATCGACTTACTCTTTTTTCAGGTAAGTAGCAAGTCATATCTTGGAATGTTCCAAGATTTAAAGCTTATTTAGTTTTATTTATTGTATTTAGTTGTCTGATTCTGATTTATAATATATACCTATTACCATATTATGTCTGACTCAATGAAGTTTCTTTCTTATTTTGTGAAAAATATAATAATAATATATGGTTATTTATTAAGTATAGTAAGCCAGAAAGGTGAAACTAGAAGACAAAAATATATTTATGATTTACATTGACGTTTTGTCCCACGAGCTATCAATATAAAAATGTTCCAAACTATATAGTAGTCAGAATTGTACACTTTAAGTCAGCGCGTATCAACACTATTGATAGAATAAACTAGACTAATAATAACTAGACTGCACCGTCGAAATGCTGTAATTTAGTCGAGTCATCGACTGACTCACCAATTTATTTTCCTTTAGTATCGAATCCTCAATCCACACTGATTGCTAGCTATGAGTTTTACACCGTTTCAAAGAGAAACTTCGAATAATTTTCACGTTGTAGGAGACGTAAGTAATTCAGCTGTGAGATGAAAATTGTGAATTCTTTTTATTTATCGTTAGGCTCACGAATGAATGCGTTGAATTAGAGCGATATTTTCAAAGCTACGTTTAAATTGAATGCTCGTTTGTTTTGATTATGAATATTATTGATATTTGCATACGTCAGAGTCATATAATGGCGGGTGTAATGAAATCATGGACGGTTGTCTATTTGTTATTTTAGGTATTAACATATGGTATATCGACTAGATGATGATGATGATTGTAGCAATAGATTTCCAAAGCAAATGCTGCATTTCTTGGTATGACGTTGATCGTAAGGTTTTTAACATACTTAAAAAAATCTAACTATATCAAAAAGTCGACCGTCAAACCTTCAAGAAAAGAACGTACTCCCACCGCATAGGCTGGCAATGCCCTTGTGAGTCCCGAGTTACATGCGTCCTTGGGCGGCAGTAGTCATTTTCCATCGGGTGACCCGTCTTCACCTTATATCGTGAAATAAATGTAGGTGACAAACGAATGAGGGGCCTACAATGTCATTTTCATTGTTCATCTAGCATATTTCACAAGGTGTAAGGCGCAAAATAGGTTCATATTTTAAATAATTAAACGGTCTATAACCCGGCAATCTTGTGCGCCCCCGCCACCGTCTGTCACCCCGCAGGACGGTCGCGCACGACGTTGATGGACTATAGTTTTTCAACGAGATAGTTAGGGTTAAAGTATTAATTTAAAAAATACATAAATATATAATTGGAAAAATCGGTTCATGGCAAGTTATTGAAAAGAAAAATTGAACAGCGATTTTGAAAAATTGGTACTAAACGATTTTTTTTAACGAATACTTTTACCCGGTTTATCCCGTTGAAAATCAGCTGGTTCGATCGATCTAAACATTTTCAGCCTGTACTCTTATTTCTTCTTGATACGCATTCACTTGAGTAATAACATAAACACTCTGCCCTCCCTTGTTATGGATGCATATTCATAGGACAATCACCCCCCGGGTGATTACGGAAGTGTTTTATTTCTAATGAAGTTTGAATATAATTACACAGTCCAAACAAGTATTTTACTACAGACTTGATTGGGAATTAAAAACATTGAATTTTCCCACCAAACAACACCAACGCGACACTTATCTAGTTTATGAGTAACATTGACCTAAAAACATAACTAACTGCATGATTTCCTCGTGATGCTTAATACGGTTCAGTAACAATGACAAATACCTGCATAGGTGAGCATACCGGCATACTATGCTCAGATTAAATTTCGATCTAAATCGTTCTCTTTTTTTTTAAAAGACAACTCCCGCGCTAAGAATATATCCATATTCTTTATAGCGGAGGGCTTGACAAACATATATAAAACGGCCACAAAGAACACCCAGACTCAGAACGACAATTTGTAGATCACACGAAGTGTCGTCCCATGGGTATCGAACCCACAACACTCAGCGTAGTAGGAAGCGGCGAGGCGACCGCTTAAACGCCATCCGTGTATTCATTGAGTGAGATTGCGAGTACGCATTCATTTTTAAGGATGTTGGTAAAGTGGTCGTCTAGAATCCTTAAACGTTTTAACAAAATGGTAAGATAACAACGTAAGAAATTTAAACGTACTTGTTGTACTAAAATGTTTTTAAAAAGTGTCAATACAATTGTGCAGTCAACCTCCTACACTAAACAACCGAAAGGTACTAAATGAATGTAACTCTTCATTTGTGCGATGTTAATAGATGTCATAATTCCTTGGTTTATTACATCAGCAACGGTATACGACAAACGCAATGCGATGTTCTGATTTATTATTCAATGTAAGTGCGGGTTGTTTGTACAACAGGCAATAAACGTGGTTTATTTTAGCATTTAAGAATAAAAGAGGTTACGAGTGCCTTGCCTTTGAGTTTTAAGAACTCGTGGTCTCTGGTTTTAGAATAAATGAAAATTATCAAATGCTGTCAGTGCGAGCAGCTTCAACTGTTAAATAAATAAATCAGAGGGTATTATGAAGTAACGGTACTAATCTCTCCCACACGCCCAGTATTCTAACGTAGGCAATTTTATAGTTTGGTCTGGGTGCTTTACAATGTCTACCTAGAGACTTTAGGTGTTGTATATGCGTGTGGCTTGTTACCTTACCTTGTTTGAAAATTTATTTAATATTTTCAAACACCTTACTCAAAATGAATTAGACTATAACTTTTTGCCCCGCACAACAAGCCAGTGGAAAAAGTCACCTGCGATATTTCCGGATTGTTATGATCTTTAAATGTTTAAGAAAAGAGACTATTCCTATTTCAAAGACCAGCGTCGCTCTTATGACTCTAACAGGTATCTATGGAAGACGGTGGTAATCACTATATCATAAAAGAGACACTGATCATACTAAATATTAACCAAGAGACTAGTAATAAGCATAATGCATAACAGGATGATGCAAATGTTTGTAAGTTAATGTTTGAAAGATAATTGTTGGATAAGCTGGCATCAAATGTGCTTTATACGCGACAACGGAGCGTTAACATGGGAATAATAATAAAATTAAGTGAGGTCTAGATTAAGTTTTATTTATATAATACATAATAATTAAAAAAAAAATATTTACAGCTTTATACATATAGATTGTACTGTACTCCGTAAGGAAAACACTACCGATACTATAATGTTCAAACATCTGTGGAACGGGTTATCGTCTGCGGTATTTCCGGACCGATACGACCTTCAAACCTTCAAGAAAAAAGCGTACTCCTTCCTAAAAGGCCGGCAATGCGCTTGTGACTCCTGAGTTGCAGACGTTCAGGGGCGGCGACGGTCACTTTAAATCAGGTGACCCGTCTGCTCGTCTGCCCCAACATAAAAAAGATATACCTAGGAATATCTCAGTGTCAAAATGTTAAGTTAATAACTTTATAACAAAATTTAAGAAAGATATACCTTTATTAGCAGAAACTTATGTCGCCGCTTCCTTCTGCGCTGAGTTTTGTGGGTTCGATCTCCACATGGGACAACACTTTGTGTGATCCACAAATTGTTGTTCTAAGTCCGTTGTGTCCGTTTCATGTATGTTTGTAAAGTCCCCCACGACACAGGATATATTCATAGTGCGGGAGTTGTCTTTTTTAAGCAAAAAAAAAATTGCATAAGGAAGGTGTGTATATTATAATGTAAGAAACCGTAGAAGTGGCATTACATTAAATGAATAACATTCTTATTTACTTTCTTCTTAAAGCAAATTTAAACAGATCCTAAACTACACTTCATATCATACCTTTGTGTTAATAAATCATCAGTGTATCCAACAACGGTACATTAGAATGAGTTGTAACACAAAGAATCACTCACCGCTGCGTCTCAAGGGTGAAGACGGCTCCATCTCTAAAATTATACATTAATATTCTCAGAACAAAAGTGTTCATGGAATAACATTTTTATTTTTTATCTGCAGTAAGGGAAATGAGTGGTCATGAGATAAATCTAAACTTGAAAATATTTGATATTTTTTAAGTTAATGGAACCATCTTACATCTTGATTTAAAATTAAGAGAGGTATTTAGCAGATGGTTCGTTCAAGCCCATAAATAATCTCATAAATCATTTGTATTATACACTATCTTCTCATTTGTCAGTGTGGTGACGAATTAAGAATACAGAGTGTAACAACCCCTATTTCTGTGGGTGACGTAAGAGCCGACTAAGGGAGCAAACTACGCAAAACAGCAGCACTGCAGAGAGAAATAAAACTTGAAACAAATTATAGCAACCCGTCTGACCAACGTGGTATAGTAGGCCAAAACCACCTTTCTATGGAGAGGCCAATGTCCAGCAGTGGACTATTAAAGGTAGATGATGATGGTGATGATCTTATTAGACACCATGTTAAAGCGTTGGCGTCCAGTGCAGAGACAATTGTAAATTAAGGCACCTTTACCGAGGCAAGGACGCTCAAATGAGCTTGTAAAATTGTTACACTACTTTGTCACTTATTACAATACGTTAAGTATGACTTAATAGTTTCAGTAATCCTATTTTACCTCTTTATTTAAAAATATTATTTAATTTAAAATATAGTTTTTTGAAAAGCTTGCAAAAAGTAAGATTTACGTACTTAAAGTATGATTTAGAATTAATGATATATTATTACTCATGAATATTTTCATTAGTAGCAACGATTGAGGAAAAAGTTGACTATTTTTAATGAGTCTGCTTTTATTCATTCCTCGCTATCTGTATATTAATACAAACGACAATGAGGCAAAAACTTTGTAGGTACTTACATCTTTTTAAGAAAATTGCGAGAACGGATGAACGTTGAGTTTAATACAGTTAAAGTTTCTATGGAGAAAAAAATGCTTAAAGCTATTTTTTTAATATAAAATGCATAAGAAATACTTTAAATTAATTAAAATAAACATTACACACACTACTGCTTGAATGATACAACATACACACACATACATACTACACTTACTCTTTTGTTCATGGTTAAA